AGACTTGGAAAGGTTAAGCAATATTGTTTAAGAATCTGTCCATAAATACATTCTATATTGCAACGTATTTTAAATCTCTATAAGTAAACTGGATAGGAGTATGGAGATGAGATGCAGACGCATCTCATATACTAGGTGAATATTACATGGTCAAACATCAAATGACTGATTTGTGCCAAACTTAGGCTATCATTGAACTCCTCTGGGAAAGCATCAGTTTGAGTGTCAACATTTCTCTATGGGAGGAGAGACTTTGAGGTAGAAAATAAAAGAGCATACATTACTTACCTCTTATTTTTATTCTTACCTTTATAAGCAAATATAATTTTATAATTGATTGAATAAATTTATGGCCAGATATACTGAAGTTAATAACCACTTTGAAAAAATTGGTTCTGCATCTTATTAGCTACAATTAATTACCAAGTCTTAGAAAGGCAAGTGTCCTAGGAAAGCTTATAAACTATAATATTACCACAACTGAAGTACATTTCAAAAATACTAAGTTGCACTTTTATTCACTTAGACTCAATGACGCAACTCTAAAGAGAAATTTTGTAGTTTTAATGAGCATCTCAGTTTGTGTAACTGCATAATGACTCATTTTCCAGTTTTGGTCCACTAACATACTACCCAGTACATGGAATTAGCTCTTCTAAATTATTTGCAGAACTCCAGGAACAATTCGATTCCATACTAAATACAATTAAGCATGTAAATCATGGTAAGCTTTCTCATATTAAGAGACAAAAATTCAACTTAATTGACTATCAGCTACTAATATCATATTAAGAAGTACATCCCTTTAGTTTCAGTTACATTCACTCTTATATACTTGCTTAGGTGCTATTACACCAAAAAATTGAATTCTAAGAGGTATTGAATTGTTAAGACTAATTAATTGTACAGTTTTCCATTGACTCACACTGAACCCCAGTGAAGTTACTATGTAGGGGTCAACATTTTGGAAGAAACACTATAATTAACGGCACTCACAATTATATGAATATGCATCTAGATAATCCTCTTGCCTATTTGGATTTCTAGGTATTCTCATGTTGATAAGGGACAACTCACAAAAACACACTCACAAAAACAAAAGAATTCTGATTTTATGCCTTGATGTTCATAACCAAACTTAAATCTTTGCTAATACCAGGCTATATGATATACTGCCTTAATAAAATGTTTAAAATTCAACATAATTTGTAATCAGTAACCTTTTGCAATAGAGGACAGGTAATTGATAATAGTTCTAGTTTTTCTAAATGTCTGACCAACATATTTCTCCTACTACAGTGGCCCTCTTTTCTTTTAACCAATGTGAGAGGGAAAAAACAAAACCAGCATTATAAAATATGCAATATTAACATGAGACACAGACTCCATATTTATTTCTTATATAGAAGGCATTATTTGGTATCTTGCCCAAGCAAATCTACATTTTGAGAACTATTTATAATGCCATTTATTCTATTTATGATCATATGGATTTTTCCCCACAGACTTTTTGTGCATGGTAGAATTTATAATGAATACAACATTTCTTCCCAGGGCAATTTATCTTTGCTAATTTCTGCCATTAAATTAAACACATCCCAGACTACACATGCCCAATCATAGATGCATTCCCAGTTCTGTGGCCCTCAACTCCCTTGCTCAACAGTCAATTATTTCCAATGACCTTCCACAGCAGACACTGTCAGAAAACCGAATGCCACCCACCAGCTAGATCCAGGATAAGAAACTTGGAGATAACTGTTATCTTAAATCTACCTTATCTTTTGTTCCTGCCTTGCTCCCTATCTCCTCCTTCTCAGCTCCAGATAATTGCTAACTTCTCCACTCAGCTACCAAATAGTCTTCTCAATTTAATTACTATCTTCCCACACTCCAGTTTATTGGATGATGACTCGAAAGTAATTAATTCATCTGCATCTGCTATGCCAATGGGATTCTAACATTGCTTACCTCTTTGCAACTCTGGCTACTGAAACTTCTTATTCCTGTGACACTTAACACGTTGACTCTTAAATGCATTTTTGCCAGACTATTCACTGAATACTAAAATTGCAGCTATAGTTAATTTATTTCATTTGGAAAGGGAAATTCGTAACCAACATCCTGCTTCCCCCCCAAAATTAATTAAAACAAACAACAATAAAACTTTGTCCCCAGCACTTAGAAGAGATTAATAGACAATGTAAGTCATTTAAATTATCTATACTGTTTTAACTTTCATTCACTACCACTTACATAATATGGCTCCATATTTTGATGTAGTATATGCAAAGTCTTAAGTGAGCAGGAAATCATCATCTGTGCTGCACGTGTGTGTGTGTGTGTGTGTGTGTGTATGTTCAATATATAGAGAGAGGCAGCAGTCTGGAACTGTGCATATGGTGTTATAATGTTAGCTCTGCACCATTAATGATAGAACCTCCTATAATAATAATTTTTTAAAATGCCTTATCTAGAGGAAACCATGTATAATTTCACATTTTACAGTTAACACATTTCAAATCTTTGTTGCCAACTTATTTCCTGGAGAGAATCACAAGTCATTAACTCAATTTAATTAAGTAGATTATGTTTACTTTATTTCCTAAGTCACTAATTGCTAAAGAGGGAATACCTAACTCTATATAAAAAACTATGTTGAAACTTCATTAGGCTTATGTAAATATCCACCAACAATGGACACAGGCTCAAATGGGTCATTGTCTATACTTCATTGAGAAGCAGATTGTTATGGTTGCCAACAGTAACTCTCAGCCACAGCCTGTGGACAGGCCAGAGCTGAACAGCTGGGCAATGCAGGGCCACAATGTGCCTCAAAATATATGGTGACTGTTTATCGTCCAAACTTAAACAGAGAGGACTATGTTCTTCTCACCATGGTCAGTCTCATTGCTTAATTTATATTTATAGCTGGCCTCTCCACCATCTGTGCACACGGTCCATGATGTACCTCCAAGGAATTGGAGTGGGATTATTTGAAGACCCAATTAAATAGCCAGGAAAAAGCAATCCATCATGTATAAGGTGAGAAATGTAAGACAGTCACGGTGGCGTCCTGTCACACTTTCGGATTTTTGTCTTCATTTTCTTTTACTTTCTTTCTAATCCAATGCCAAGTGCAATAAAAACTGACCAAGAGTATAGAAGCCAATGACAACACTCTACCATCTAGATAGAAAAAGAATAAATTATCAAGATTCTCCGAGGCTGGCTCTAGTGAGGAAGGAAATGACATTTCTGCTGAGGAGACCCTTGTTCCTTTATGGGCATGCAGACCTAAATGAATCAGGGCCCAGGTGAAATGCAGGATACCACTAATCAAAGGCCACCTGTTGAAACCAGAGCTTCCTGGTATAAGCGAAATTGAATGCCTATAGCTGGTTGACCGAATGCACTGAATGACTGCAGAATTAAAAAGAAATAGCCTTATTTTTCTCTGGTCATCCATTTTCAAAGACACCCCTGTCAGATTGGTCTCCACATCTCTGATTGCAACTTGGGCCAATCCTCTGGCCCTCTGGTCACTTTAAATATTTTAAAAGCCTTATCTTTAGGTATTAAAATAATAAAACAAACCAAAAAAACCTCATCACACACACACACACGCACACACACACACATACACATGCACACACCCCAGTGTGATCTAAAAACATTCAACTGATTTTCATTTTAAAGTTTCTTCCCATTTCCCAAAGCAGGCCTGAGACCAAAAACAGGGAATGGGGCAGCAGGACTGTCTGTCACCTGTGTTTCCAGTCTCTCAGATCCATGTTTCTCCTGTGCTTAGGGCTTCTCCCGGGTCACAGAGGATGGATTTGGAGTAAAGAGAAAAAGGCTGTGTTTCTCAGCTTGTGCTTTCAAAAGTCCATGGTCATGGAACGTATTTGCATACCTCTTTCTTTGGTGCCGTTCTGTGGGCTCTTCAGAGACTCCCCCCACCATAGGAATGCGGTCACAGGCCCTTCCTAAAGTTGGCAAGGCACTTTCTGAGTGACTTTCTGCCCCAGCTCAGCTCAGCTCCACCCTGGCAGTGTCCCTCTGGTGTCTTTTTGTTGGGACACCCTCAGCAGGCAGGACCTCTTCAGCTGGGTCATTTCAAAAACAGTTCAGCCTTGCTTTCTTCAAGTGGAACTTAAACACCCTTGTTCTTCCCAAAGGTGGAAAGAAAGCCTCTCCCCACTGTTGCCCTTCCCTTCTTCCTCTTTGCATTGTGGGCAGCTCCAGACAGTTTTCAACTAGAATAAGTTGCCTGTTTCCCGTTTTTGCAATCACTCCCCAGAAACACACACACACAGAATCTGTCCAAGGGGTTTTCCTGGTGTCTGCACAACTTGGTTTATAGGGAAGAGAAAAATACCATGACAGACTTTCATCCTATGAATTACAGCACAAAGAATCTCCATTCCTATGAGCAGTTGCAGGGAATGATCACTGGCCTCTGTCAGGGCCAACAAGTCCTAGGAGGATGTATCTCACAATTTCTTTAAAAATATGGGGTTGCTTATCTCACACGTTTCTTTCAGCTTTACGGCTTTAGCTACAAAATCAAGTTTATTAATAGCTAGAATTCTCTTGTTCTACAACATATGCAGCAACCAGTATTAGCTTAAAGGTGGCCATATATTTGTTACTAATGATATGGTGCACAGTTTTCAAAATGTGGCTCACATTAGAGACCCTGGTTTTAGAGATACCTTTTCTCCTACTTATCCATTACTAGTTAAGCAGAAAAGAATGTACTTAGTCACACTAACGATGTTACACTAATACTTAAGCACATATGTATATACACACACTAATATATATGTATAAATAATTTGCTAGAAGGAATATATCATCAATACACAAGCGTGCACTTTGTTTAACTGAGTAATTTCATACTGACTTTGAGGGACAGGGAAAACAACATGGATTTTACGAATGGGCCGTGCACAATGGTAACTACAGGTACTGGAGCAAAGTTCCCATCGCCTTACCTGGCTTAGGCACAATGAGCTGTGCACTAGTCTGGGCATTTCCAGCCTCATTTTCGGCCACACACTGATAAAAGCCTTCATCCGACTTCACTACCCCAAGGATCCGTAAGTTGCTTCCTCCCTAGGGAGAAGAAAAAGTAGGTGAAATATTTTAAAAAGCAAAAAAACTCAAGGCAGCAAAATGAACCTAGACCAAAATTTAATAAAACATCACAGAAGAAACAAGAGGGGAGACCGGGAGAGTTCTCAGTCTCATAGATACGTCCTGTGCCACCTGGGAAATGTCACACATTCCCAATTCTCTTTTCTGAATGCACAGGCATCAGTTCAACCTAGCTCTGCAGTAAAAAAATACGCTCACATAAATACATATCATCTTTAAAATCTAATGAGCAGTCAATGGAAAGGTCTTTTATTAGGTACGGAAGAAACAAAGATTAGCACCCAAAGAAATCTCATTCCTTTAGTTTTTATTGAAAGCAGCTCAGGTTCAGCAACTGCTGAGGGAAAACAAAAAAATGAAACAAAAACACTGATCTTTGCAGCTTCTAAAGGACAAGAAATCAAGGTCGGATATTTTCTGAAAGTGTTTAGCCAGAAAAAAAATGTCTAAAAACATTCTTTAAAAAATGTAATGGCTTTGACATATACCCTTTTGGAGGTTTGGAGAAGGGGTATGGGGGATGTTTTTACCTGTGTAGTTCTTGTTAGCCAAAATATTTCACCTTCATAGATTAAATACAGCACGTTAACTCCTCCTCTCTATAAATTGAGCTACCATCTTTTTCAAGGATGGGTGATAAGATGATCTAGAGATAGCATTTAATTATACTAACTCAGTTTATCTTCAATATTAGTGTAAGAATTAGTTCAGTAAGTGAAACGTGTTAAATCACTTCCCCTGAAGTCATTAAGAGATAAATATTACCTCATGGGGAATTCTTAATTGTTTTTAGTGTCTTGTAGTCAATTCTCAGCTGATGTAAAATTCTTAGATAAAGCTGGCTAACTTCTAATTAACAATTCTCATATAAGTTACTATTTGTGCTCAATGTTACATGTGTGGCAGGCAACGGCTCTCAGATTTCTGGAGCTACTGGGGAAATATTTTTAAGCACAATTTAATGTGAATAGGGCACATACTGTACATTTTCTTTCACCTTAAGAAAAACAGAATTTAAATAGGTTGGCTGTAATGAGTCATGCTGGGAGAAAGATTATATTCAATCTGTAGAAAAAATAAATGTTGCATTTTATTATGTGTCCTTAAAGGCACTCAACAATTTCCTTTACATGCAAGTAGCTTATATTTTAAGCATATACAACACTTTTTAAGTTGCCCAATGGCAGGTCATTTTTAATTCAGTGGTAGTGAAATAACATTGCATTTAACAGAAGTAATGGATTGGTATGGCGTTTAAAAGTTTTTTTTTTTTTCTTTATGTTACTCTACTCCCAACCAATTAAACAAATACAACTAAAAGTGTAAAATGATAAGTGGTTATAAAAGTAATAAAAATATGCTTTATGGATTTATTTCTTAAGAAATTTTATAGCGTGGCAAAATACATGCACAAAGAGAGTATGAAAATTTCTGAAAGTCAACTGATTGTGGAAGAGGCATTTAGCAATGAAAGCCAGTGTAATGTCATGAAAAAAGCTTGTGTCTGGACAGGATACCTATGTTCTAGTCTTCATTCTGCCTGGGAGACCTGACAGCTCTTCTGTGACAGAATCGTGTCTGCCTCTCAGACGTTACATAAGAGGGCATCTAAGGCCCTCTTCTTTAGCTGCAAAGTTCTTTGACATCTAGAAACTATTTTGTTATATTTCTCATATATTGATATACCTACAATCTGAACCTCCAGCACTAACTACACCTACAGGAGAGTTTCAGAGAGCATTTCCAAAAGAGCAAAGAATTCTGCTGGTAACAGCAAAAACAACAATAATGGAAGGTACTGGGCACTTGCAATGTAGCCGGACAACCACTCAGTGAATACAATGCCATCATCTCTATTATGTCCCTACAACGATAGGGATAGAAAGTGAGCTAAAACTTCTAGGAAACTGTAACAACTATTTCTCTTAACTTCAATTCTTTGCAATGTTCCAAATTGCAAAGCAATGTGAACTCTGTGTCTCCATGGCCTCTCTACCATAGCAGCCACCACTGCCACCACCAGTATCATCGTCCCCCCCACCACTGCCCTTCTTAACTGCTCATATAGGATCCACTGGTCCTATCTAGTAGGGTAGCAAAAATAAGCTGTCTGTATTATCAGAGTAAGACTACCATAATTATAAGTAGTGCACATCTTATTAAAACCTTATTAAAATGGGTAAAACTCAAAGAAGTAAGAGAACCCTGGCTGAATACAGTCTAGAACTAGGTTCTAAACTCTATTCTACGATCCAGCAGTGAAACAAATCAGGAAGTCTTACTCCCTCTGATTTTTCTTTGTTTTAAAGTCTTGTCTGTAAAAACCAGGAGCTAGACTGCTTGATTACTGTTTTTTCGGCTCAAAAATTCTTAAATCTAGAAAATCATTGCTTTATTAGAACCATTTTAACACATCATAAAAATTCCCAACAGGAACCTTCTTCCCAGGAAAGAAAAGCAAGTGAAAAAAATAGCAAACAATGAATGGAATTATAAAGCTAATATGAAAAAAGAAAAGATAATTACCACTATCTGAAAATAATCACTAGGAATGACCACATCTCCATTCTTCATCCAATTCACAGTGGGCACAGGCTTTCCCGAGACTGCACATTCAAACTCAATATCCATGCTTTCATAGGCATAGAGATTGGAGGGGTGATTTAAAAACCATGGTGGAACTGCAAAGATAGAAAAAAAAAAATGTGAGTGGTAGGGATGTGAACTTGCGTGTTGCTAAGGTCTTCATTGAGTTAAAAACACTGCTCTGTGATAGGAACTATTTGTAATTCAAATCATTCCCTAAACTCTTAGCTTATTATACAGAAACTACTATAGAATAAATCTTTTTTTCCCCCAAATGCAGTTAAACAGTTGCAGTTAATGGTGTTTTGCCACAAGGAAAGAAAAAAAAAAAACACTTTTGGAAAAAAAGATACATAATAAACATTCTGAATACCCAAGTATTTGTATATAATTGACCTATACACTGTAAAGTACGTAAATCTATGGAAACTATACTGATGAAGTAAATAAAGGAAAGCTGATAGGACTGAGATGTTCCAGAGGATAAGAGAAGAAAGCTCAGTTTCCGTATCATTCTAGAATTTTATCAGGATTTAGTTAATGCAATGGACTCTTTCTCTGTTGAAACTGGCTGTAATGATAAGGAACTAAAAATGACCATATCATCTTTACTGTGGATACATTCCTATTGTCTTAGCAACTATTGCAATCTATTATTATACATATTATCATTTTCTTAACAGGATATCTGATATACTAATTTATTTTCTTAATTACCATTACACCAGTTACTCTATGATGAAAATTTGCAATCGAAAGAAAATTACAAATATACCACATCTTGGCTAATGGATCTCTCCAGCTTAGTTCCTCAAAACCTTGCCTAGGAGAGGAAAATTTTTAAAAAGTAATGTTTATCCTTTTTCCATTGGGAAACTTAGAGTGATGGCAGATTTGAATATTCATGTTGTCTGAAAAGTCAGATAAAATTCACAGTGACGTAGTAGCCATGATCTCCTTTCACATAGAAGATGGAAATGTATTTTTAGTAGCTGTTTTTAAAAGTAGACTCTGTTTTTTTTTTTAATTGTTGTTGTTATGCTCAATGAATAATCAGTGCTAATTTTTGGCTTAAATAATTACTATATTTTGATTTTTCCAACTACTATCAGCAAAGCTTTCCCCTGACACCAGAGTGAATGTTCTATCTTTTATGGTCACTGCCTTCTCGAAGAATGCGAGAGGCAGTAGAAGCTCCCAGGTTTTAAGTTCTGATTTTTCCTACTGAAAGATCTCTCTCTTTCTCCCTCTCTCTGTCTTATTTACCTTGTTTGTAACTAAATATTTGGACCTCTAGTATTAAACATCATTTAAATTCTTTAATCTTTGACAGGGGCAAATTTATTTAGATGACTTGGCTGGGAAACATTAATATTCATGACCTAAAAACATAAAAAATGTATCTAAAAATCATTCTAAACAGAACATGTACCCATTGTGTACAGGTATACAGGCTAAAATTATTTATTATTGATGATATCACCAGTAAAATTTGATTTTTTGGTTTCTTAGCTGAATTCACTGACAATGAACCAAAAGATATCAGAAATACTCACTGAATGCCTCTGAGCAGATATATTAGTTGAGGTTCTCAATTCTGTTCTCAGTTTTACCACAGATTTTGATCAAATACTAGCTGATACTCAACATTCATTGAGAGCTGACAATGCAAAATGTATTAGTCTAAGCACTTTATGATTCTCATTGCCACTCTCTGAGGCAGGCTCTATTATCCCCGTTTTACAAATGAGGAGATCGAGGTACAAGGTGTTTAAATAACTTTCCCCAAATTACCTAGCTTGTACATTGTGAAGCCAGACCGTCTGACTCTCTGTCTACATTCTGAACTGCTTTGCAATAATTGTCTCTTTTGCCACTTGAAAATTCTGGTAGAAAGATAATCCAATAATATTTCCTGAGTCTCATAATGGAGATAAGCAATTAGAGCCATAAAAAAAAAATAACACCTTGTTTTCTATCCCTCATTTCCCTTTAAGTCCTTCTTTCCTGGTGCCATGAAAACTACCTGAGTCTGCTCAGTCTTAGTGTTCACTTTTATCAGAACTTCTAGAATCATTATGTCTACATCAGAGATTTTCACAATTTGGCTCACATCCATTAGTAGATCTCGAAATTAATTTACTGGATTGAGACCAAAATTTAAATATGTACGTTAGTGTGTGTGTGTGTGTACGTACGTGTGTGTGTGTGTGTGTGTAGAGAGAGAGAGAGAATAAAATTGGAATAGAAAGGATTAGGAGTGTAGAGGGAAAAGAGAAAAGGAAGAGAAAAGAACAAACACCAAGTTTATACTGAAGAAGAGAAAAGAGAAGTTTCAAGAGCTCAAACAATGGATCCGGACTGGGCTGGGTTTAAATCGCAGCGCCCCTTCCCCCCACTTACAAATGCCTATGCTACTATCCCTACCTATAACCTGGAGGTAAGAATTGAGGATAATGACACTTAATGTTTGCAAATAACAGTGCATAATTGTATGCAAAATAAAAGCAATAAATAGAAAAACATATCAGTTACCTGTAGTAAACATAATTTTTGTACTGTATATAAGTTTATGGAAATGCATAAATAAATATGTAAGTATATGTGGGTACGTCTGTGTTATGTGCAGCCTCTTACTGTGTTTTCCAATTATGTTATGTCCTGATTCTCCAATTAGAGTTGTTTTTTGTATTCTCAATGTCAAAAACAGTGTGCTTCACATAGTAGGGTTTCTGAAAAGCAAATTATTGAATTTAAACAATTGATATATTCCAATTGTTTCATGCAGATTCACTCTGTTTTCTCCAACATGGGTGGGTAGGACTCACCTTCCAGTTCATTATCTCTCAGTAGAACTAAATAAAGCAAAACTGATCACATAGTGAATTCTCAAAACCTTCTGTATTATTGATTAATCAAATATAGTGACCTCTGATTAACTAAGGAGAAAATAATCTTATTTCAGCATGTAATTATAGTTGCAATACTCTACCATGAATGCCTCAATAATTATTTTCTGCTTACAAGTGTATATGTGAGTTCTGATCTATAATATAGTCTGTAATTTTCTCATATTCTTTAGGCTTTGAACATGACACTGGATACCTTGTCTTCTCTGGCTGTCTTAATATCTTCTTTTTTTATATAAGGTCTTCTAACTTTCACAGTACATCAGATAGCAGACAAGGAAGAAAAAATAGCTTTTCTCACTTAAATGGGGAGTGGAATTGTCAAACAGCAATATCGTGTATCATAAATGGGTCTAAGTTTCATGTTTTGAAATACACTGCCTATGGGGAAGTGTTATCAGGCATCAGTGGACTATGTGATAAGGACAAGGACTAATGAGTTATCTTCATATCTCAGTGCCTAGTACAGTGCCTTACCCTCAGAACACGCTCAACGAAGATTTGCTTTGATGCTAGTAAGAACTCAAGCAACAAAATGCACTTCTTTACCCTTTGCTGTGGAGATATTGGTATAAGATGGTGATGAGGAGTTTGGACAACATCATGGAAACCATATATCTACAAAATAATATGATTTTCTTATCACGGAAAGTAAATGTCAATGAATAATGAGAAAAAGTAAGGAGCAAAGAATGATGTACCATTGCTATTTGGAAAATAGACTGGGTATCTGTTATTTTAGCGTACTTTTTGTAAATATTCTTAATGCTCAGTCTTAAAGTTCTTCTCTGTTTGAACAAAAGGAATTAAAATACCTGACTTGGGAAAGGGTCTTAAAAAGGTCTAAATATACGGGCATGTGTTCGATTAGGAATTAGGTAAAAGCTCTTTAACCTTGTTTTTAAATAATGCATAACCAAATTGCTGCCCACCTTCTGAACTTATTAACACACCTCCTACATATACCCCATGGCTCAATGAAACAAGAGTGCCTGGCCTTTTTCTGGTTTCAAGTCTTTGTACCTTCTATTTTCTCACCCTGAAATGTTTTCCATTTTATCCTAGAATATAGACACCCTGCCTATCCTCCATGAATCCACTTCTCGAAGGACATCTTGAAAAATTTTCTTTCCTTTTGAAAACCCTGTGGTATTTATTTTTATTGATGTGTGACACTTGACTTGGTTTCCGCTATATTGTATTTATTTGTGCATTTGCGTTACCTTAGCGCTAATATATAACCCCTCCTCTGGGGAAGAGGCTCTATTATGCGGACTTGAATTCATTACATTCACTAACATATTTTTTATGATTACACTATTCTAGAAGAGAGTGGACAAATGAAGTTTACTCCAGTTTCTCTCCTTATTTATTTATCTTTTTATTTTTTCTGTGATTAACAGACTAGAATCTATTCATCTCCATTTCAGGACTGCTTCCTAGAATTTAAGATCTAGGTATATATCACATTATAACTTTCACAGCCCTGGAGTTGTATATTCTCAATACAAATTGATAAGGCCATGTCTGGTTAAAGAGAAATGAGAAATAGCATCTTTTAAATTATGGCACGACACAACTTTCACTATATCACTTTTCCTCTCTAATATTGTCAATGAGCTTTCGTTGTCCACAGAATAAGCAGCAAGCTTTGGCTTTGTATTTAGTAACTCACAGACAAGGAGAAAGTTACTGACTCAAATCTTATTTCTCACTCCTTTTCTAAAGAAATCATCTACTACAGCCAAATTAATCCTACTTGCTGTAAATAAATTATTTAGTGGTTTAAAATTGATATTTAGGATAATATAATTCCTTTATTTTACAGATAAAGAAACTGACTAAAGAGCGAATATGATTAATCAAAGGCTATGTATATATTTCTTCAGCATATTTCTGATCATGGATTCCTGTCTGGAATTACATTCCTTGGATGATAATAGATTCTCTTTATTTTCCAAAAGACAACTTAAATTCCATTTTCCTTAAAGTTTTGTCTTCCAGTAAGCTGACAGTGGCTTTTCTGCTTCTTGCAGTGCTCTCTCTCTATGCCTGATTTTTATACCACTTATAAGTTATCTTTCACATATATCATTATTTACCAACCAGATCAAGGTTCTTAAAGGTGGAGGCTGAAGCATGTGTTTCTCTGTTAAATCCTTTTGTATATTACATAGTCCCCACTT